TAAACAGATTCTAGGGGCTGGCAGGTGGTATGGTGGTTAAGGACACTGAACTCCCATATGGTCAACTGCAGTTTGAGTCCTGGACTTGGCAGCTTTCTCTCTTTCTCTTTCTCTGTCACTCTGTTCCTCTCTGATCAAATTAAAATAAGTAAGTAAATAAATAAAGTTAAATAAAATAATTTTAAAAAAATTTTTAAAGAGATTCTTGTTATAGGGCATGTGCACTTACTGGAGACATACAGAAAGACAAAGAAAGTGAGAAATCTCTTCCCCGGGGGGATGGCCATGCCACAATCCCTTCTCCTCCATTCTCCTCTTGGGATTTTGGACACGCACATGCACCCGATGTGAGTTTCAAGCCACTGGGTCCAGTGCCACACTACCTGCTGGTCCCTAGAAGTACTCTTGAATGCAGGCTTCTGATAACTTTACATCAATGAACTTCAAGTAAACTTAGCCTGTGAGCCACTCCCATGTCTTCCTTGTTGTTCATATGTGGCCAGAAGGTTTTCTGACACAGACTTCTAGTCATCATCACTTCCCTTCAATGGGGGATGACTAGACAGATCAACAATCAGGACAGGTACAACCCAGTATCAAGGGACAAGTAAAACCTGACCATAAGATGATGTTATCAGCAATGCTGTCAGAAAAGATCTTGATCAAGTAGGAGAAAAGTGAGTTTGTGAGAATCAAAATGAAGTTATTTGTGTCAACTCTAACTAAACCTAGCCAGGAAAGACCATACGCTGTGTTAATGCACTATTATGCCTGATAACAAGAATTGTTCTTTAAACAACTCTACCCGAATCATAACTCTGCACAAAGACCACTGCAAACTAACACGAGGGCTACTTCTGCAAGGACATCTGCCCAGAACTGCCAAGTCAAACTTGGACTGTCACCCTCCTTGTTACTGATCCTAGCAGTCAAGGATAACTGGCATCAGTTTGCCCTCATTACTAATTCCAAAACAGTTTATTTGATGTATTTCCTCTACTACCTTGTCATTTTTGCCTTCAAAACCTGTCTAGGGATCGGCAAGTGGTGTAACAATTACATTGCTGGACTCCCAGAGTTGACTGCAGTTTGAGTCCTGGACCTGGTGACTTAAACCTCACACTGGGCATATGCCCAAAATCCCATGAGGAGAATAAGGGATTGTGGCATGACCATACCATACCCCTAGGGGGCTGATTTCTCACTTTCTGTCTGTGTCTCTGGCGAGTACACGTGTCCTATAGCAAAAATTTTTCTCTTAAAAAAAAGGTAAACCCTGTCTAAGGCCTATTTTAAGACCTCGGTAAGCATGTCTAGGGCTACCTGAAATATGCTTTCTAGTCTACATGCTGGCTGAGTCCTTACATATATAATAAACATGCTTTGTTTTACATATTTGGCCTCAGTTTATCTTGTTAGGTTGACAACAATAATCCTATATAGTAGATACTATCATTAATAAAGATACTATATATCTTTTTTTCCTAGATTGCTAGAGAGCACCCACACTTGATGGAGGACAGAAACAGAAAGGAGAAGAAAGCATCACTCAATGGGGAAGGGTCATGCTGCAGTCCCTTCTCCTCCATTTCTCTATCCTGTCAGATTTTGGACGCAGACACACTCAGCATGTTTTCGAATCGCCAGACTAGGATGTGAACTGTGAACACCCAAGTGGGATCAAACTCTATTTAATTTTTTTTTGAGAGAGATTTTTGCTATAGGGTACATGAGCTTGCCAGAGAGACATCAAGACAAGAAGGTGAGAAATCACCCCCGCAACAGGGATTGCCATGCTGCAATCGCTTCTCCTCCCTTTTCCTCTTGGGATTTTGGACACACACACACACACACACACACACACACACACACACACCTGGTGTGAATTTCAAGCCACCGAGTCCAAGACTCAAACCGCAGTCAGCCATGTGAGAGTCCAGCAACATAACCATAACACTGTCTGCTGATCCTGGGACTGGACTCTCTTAACCAACAGGCTATGAGGCTGGCTTATATTTTCATTTTCATAAGACAAAACTAAAGGTCACAGAGGTTAATTTGCTCAAGATCAGAGCCAGAATTCAATGTACAATGGCAAAACTATCCTCCTAATCCCAGGTGATACCTCAATTTGCTTGCTGGTGACATTGAGCAAGTCATGAAGCCACCCCTCCCAAAATTCAGTTTCCTCATCAGAAAATTTGGATTGCTAGGAAGATTAAATGAATTAACTACTACTACCACCAACTATGGTCTACTGCTGTACTGTAAGAGCTCAGTAACAGTGGCTGCTCCTGTTCTTTTTTTTTTTTTTAGAGAGAGACTTTTTGCTATAGGGCAGGTGCACTCACCAGAGAAACAAAGAGAGAAAGAGAGAGAGAAAGAGAGAGAGAAAGAGAAATCATCCCCTGTGGGGATGGCCACGCAGCAATCCCTTCTCCTCCATTCTTCTCTTGGGATTTTGGATACGCACACACATGCACCTGGCAAGAATTTTAAGCCTCCAGGTTCAGGACTTGAACCAAGGTTGACTATGTGGGAATCCAACAACATAACCATTACGCCATCTGCTGGTCCCTGGCTACTGTTATTCTGTACCATTCTATGATGGTGGCTCCAGCTGCTCTAATTCTGTTCTACTGCTTTCCTACATATGTTATTCTCTTCTAATTATTTTATTGACAATGCAATTCTAAACAGAAATCCAAAATTAATATTTTAAAGGCTAGTCTTCTTCTATTGCTTATTTCATATATTAAAACATTAAAGTAAACACTGGGCATGTGGCCAGTACGTGGCATGGTGGTTAAGGCACTGGATTCCCACATGGCTGACCACAGCTTTTGAGGCCTGAATCCAGCAGCTTGAAAATCACGCCAGATGTGTGTGCATGTTTGCCCAAAATCCCAAAGGAGAATGGAGGAGAAGGGACTGCGGTGTGGCCATCCTCTCTTGGAGTGTTTCTTACTTTCTCTATGTCCCTCTCTGTCTCTCTGCTAAAACCTAAAAAAAATTTTAATTGGGGCATATGTTAGGTTGTCAGGAAAGTAATGATGTATTTTTCTATGTTTTTCTGTGCAAAAATGTATCATAACTTTCCCAAGAACCCAATATATCAAATAAGCCAATTATTTCTTACCTTATTCAGCAGTCCTGCTTTAGTAATTTACCCCAACATATGTCTGCACATGTGTGAAATATGTATGTACAAGGCAATTTGAAATATTAAAGTACCTTTTATACAAAAAGTACTTTAACTTAGTGAACATACTATTGCTTTGAAAGATACTCCAATATCAATTATCCTTACCTCTAATCTCTGTGTCTGGTCCTTTCCCAAAAGATCACGAACTTCTTCATTATATATTTCCAAGTAAGACACTCGAACCAAAAATCTGTAAATGAAACATCAATTTTTAAACTATAACACACAGTGAAATAGTTATAAAAAGTTTTAAAATGTGTTTACAAAATTTACACCTATATGCTTTTCTATGTTTATTAGGAAATAAAAGAATTCTCTTTTACCTTGTATCACCCTCTGCTTTTGCAATATGACCAAATATATGAGCGAATGAATTGGGAATGATTCCTCTAAGTTCAGGAACAGCTCGAACGCCTTCCATGGTAAAAGTTTTGCCTGTTCCAGTTTGTCCGTATGCAAAAATAGTCCCTGAAAATGATGAAGAAAATTGGTCACCTTTGGGAGTCTAATTAGAACAACAGCTCTTAAAATTAATTCCTTTGATGCTGTGATGTAACTTCTTCCCTGATTCAAAATTTACTCTAGTACAAACTTCACCCTTATTACCAACAATTACAATACGCACTCTGTGTCACAAGAACAAACTAATGTTAAAATCGCAGTCAGGGGGACCAGCAGTTAGCGTAATGGCTATGTCGCTGGACTCCCATGTAGTTGACCGCAGTTCCCGTCCTGGACCCAGTGGCTTAAAATTCACGCCAGGCGCGTGTGCGTGCGTGCCCAAGATCCCGAGAGGAGAATAGAGGAGAAGGGATTGCGGCGTGGCCACCCACCCTGGGGGGTGATTCCTCACTTTCTGTCTCTCTGTCTCTCTCTGTCTGGCGAGCACACGCGCCCTATAGCAAAAACTTCTCAAAAAAAAAAAACAAAACAAAACAAAAAAAAAAACACGCAGTCAGGCCGGCCTATGGAGTAGCAATTAAGGCGACTGGATCCCACATGGCCAACTGTGGTTCCAGTCCCAGACCCAGTGGTTTGAAGAATATGCTGGCGCGTGTGTATGTGTGCCCAAAATCCCAAACAGAGGGAAAATGGAAAGGAGACTGCAGCGTAACCATTCCCCATGGTAGAGGTGGGGAGGGTGCTTTCTCACTTTCTCTCTGTCTAAGGCAACATGTGCCCTCTGGCAAAATTTTTAAAGAAAAAAAATGTTAAAGGAAATTTTCTGGGCAAAATGAAATGATATTAAGTGGAAACATAGATCTACATAAAAGAATGAAAAGTACCAAAAATGTAACTACATGGGCAAATAAATAGGAGGGGCAGTATTCAAAAAGTTCATGAAAAATGTATATTATGAAAAAACTATTATGCCTTCAAATTTTTTGCATCAAAATAAACTTTTACTGCCTTTTGGTCAGAACCGCCATCTTCCAGTAATTAACCAAAATGACGAACACAAAGGAAAAGAGGAGAGGCACCTGATATATATACTCCAGGCCTTTTAGAAAACATGGAGTGGTTCCTTTGGCAACATATATGCACATCTACAAGAAAGGTGATATTGTAGACATCTAGGGAATGGGTACTGTTCAAAAAGGAATGCCCCACAAATGTTACCATGGCAAAACTGGAAGTCTACAATGTTACCCAGCATGCTGTTGGTCTATAAACACGTTTGCCTTAATTGAGTAGAATTATGTTCCCTCCCTAAAGCTAATTTTTATTGGGCTCTAATTCATTTTGTAATATCTTTATTCAAATTTAGTATTTTTTCACCTGAAAGATGTTAGGTGGTTTGGTTTATACAACAAATAAAACTCATTTGGTTAGAAAACAAACAAACAAACAAAAAACTCGTACTTAAATTCTATCTTTCCACAAACTTTCTAAAGTCCTCTCATATAAAGTATTTTTTCTTTATTATTTAAATCTTATTTAAAAATAACTGGCCATTTAAATAAAAATAACAACATGATGTGAAGTTTATAACATGTAGAAGTAAAATACTTAACAATAGTAACATCAAGTATGAGAGGAAAGAAATGGAAGTATTCTACTGTAAAATGCTTATGTATGTAAAGTTGTATACCACTTGAAGATACATCATAATATCCTGAAAATGTATAGCATAAATCTTAAAGCAAAATAAAAATAAATCAAAGATATATTGCTATAAGCCAACAAAGATAAAAGGAAATAATAAAAAATACCTGATGATCCAAAATGTTAAAAAAAGAGAAAAAAAAAAAAGGAAAAAGAGCAAACCAGGCAAAGAGAAAAACAGAAAGACAGGTTTAAAACTAATCACCTAATCATACTACATGTATTGGGTTGTCAGAAAAGTCATGATGCATTTTTCTATGCAAAAATAAATAGTCTCACTTTCCAATTTAAAAAAAAATAGTCTCACTACCCAATTAAAAAGCAGAGATAGGGACAAGCAGATGGAGTAATGGTTATATCGTTGGACTCCCACGTAGTCGACCGCAGTTCAAGTCCTGCTTGAAACTCATGCCAGGTGAGTGTGCGTGCAATGCCCAAAATCGCAAAAGGAGAATGGAAGAAAAGGGATTGCAGCATGGCCATTCCCCCTGGGGGGGGGGGTCTTGCTTTTCTTGCTTTCTGTCTGTCTCTCTCTCTCTTTCTCTCTCTGGCAAGCAAATACATCCTATAACAAAAAAAAAAAAGAAGAAGAAGAAGAAAGAAAGGGCAGAGAAAGCAGCATCTGACCTACAAAGCAATACCAACTATATACTGTTATGGAGAAAAGAAGCACACACAGTAAACCTACAACTGCTATCCTCTGAAAGTCCTGCTTGCAAGGTTGGCCGTGGCTGGCGCCTAGGAATTTGAATTTGGGGAGAGTTCCCACCAATCCCTAAATGATAAGAGTGGCTCACTCTGCTTGAACTGTGCTAACAATGTGGTTTATGCTACCCACCTGCTTTCCTGCTAGGAGTCTGGAATCTTGGCACATGCTAGGCCACGGTGCCTACATGACCAGCCCTCCTCCCCCCAAAAAAACTCTAGGTACTGAGTCTTTAACAAGTTTCTTCAATAAACAACATTTCATACATGTTATCACACCTGATGCTAGAAGAATTAAGCAAATAGCACATTCAGCACGACCACTGAGAAAAAACTTTTAGAAGTCCAGTCTTTGCTGATCTGTTGTTGTTTTCTATACTAGTCGACTGTTGAGTTGATAACAGAAATGCCTGCGATTAGGTAAATTTAAAAGAACAGAGGTTTGGAGGCTGGCAGGTGGTATGGTGATTAAGGTGCTAGACATTCACATGGCTGACCACAGTTCGAGACCTGAACCTGGTGGCTTGTTTTCTCGCTTTCCCTCTCTGTCTCTGGTCAATTAAAAATAATTAATTAAAAAAATAATATTAATAAAATAAACCATTCTATAGAAAAAAAGAATAGAGGTTTATTTTTGACTCAGTCTGGTGGCTGAGAAGTCAAAAGTACCGCAAAATGGTAGAAGGCAGAACTTTTAAGAGCAGCACATGGTTTGTATCCATGTGGCTTCTGCCTGCCTTACTTCCTCTACATACACAACAGAACCTGAATCATCGAGGCCCTGTCCTAACTGCCAATCACTAATCTCTTCCCAAAGGCCCTACGTTTGACAACATCATCAAATTAAGTTTCCACCCTCTTATTCTCTAACGAGAACTGAACAAAAGAATTTGGGAAAGACATATTCAAAGTATAGAGCTATCCTTTTGCTTTAATAAACCAAAGCCATGAGTACAACTACAGCCATGTGCCGCATAATGATGTTTTAGTTCACACATACGATGGTGGTCCCATAAGGAGCATAGAGGCTATACCATATAACGCTGGTAGGTAGTAAGCTCTACTATCTAGGTTACGTAAATACCTCTATATAGTTAGGGTGGCTGGATCCCATAACCAATGATGTGGTTCAAGTTCTGGCAGCTTGAGAAATGTGCCAGGTGTGTGTATATAGATCCCAAGAGGAGAATGGAGGGGAAGGAACTGCAGCATGGCTATGTCCCTGGGGCATGCTTTCTCTCGTTCTCTATCTTTCCAGTGAGTGCCCAGATCCTAGGGCAAACTTAAAAAAAAAAAAAAAGGAACAAGAAAATAAATAAAATATGCATGTCTGAAAAAAAGGTCAGTTTATCAAGATGATATAAAAATCCTGAGCATTGGGACCAGCAGTTAGCATAATGGCTATGTCGCTGGACTCCCACATAGTCGACCATAGTTCGCGTCCTGGACCCGGTGGCTTAAACTCACACCGGGTGCGTGTGCGTGCGTGCCCAAGATCCCGAGAGGAGAATGGAGGAGAAAGGATTGCGGCATGACCATCCCCCCCGGGGGGTGATTTCTCACTTTCTGTCTCTCTGTCTCTCTCTGTCTGTCTGGTGAGCGCACACGCCCTATAGCGAAAACCTCTCCAAAAAAAAAAAAAGAAAAGATTAAAAATTAAAAAACCTGAGCATTTATGTCTCTTCTTACACAATTTCAAAATGCATAATGGAGACCCAGGCCTGTAGCACAGCAGTTAAGTACATGCATGAGAAGCCAGGTCCTACATGGCCAAGCATGGTCTGAGTCCTGGCCAAGTGGCTTGAGAAACACACCAGGTTTATGAACACACATGCCCCCAAATCCTGACAGGACAGAGAAATAGAGGAAAAGAGATTGCAGCGTGATCATGCTCCACTGGGGGATGCTTTCTGTCTGTCTGTCTCTGGCAAACATATGCACTCTCTGGCAATTTAAAAAAAAAATACACAAAGGAAATATTGATAGAACTAAAATGAATAAGCAAATCCAAAAATATAGTCAGAGTATTCAATACCCGCCTCTTAATAATTGATAACCCAAGTAGACTGAAAATAAGTACATAAAAGATGTGAAGGACATTATCAAACAAATTGTAGGAATTTGTAGAGTATTCCATCCAACAAAAGAGGATCTTTTTCAAGTATACACAAAACATTTAATAATAATAAGCCACATTCTTGCCCATAAAACAAGTCTCAATAAATTTTAAAAGATTTACACTATATGAAGTATATTCTTTGACTAAAATTGAATTAAGTTAAAAAGCAGTTAACATAAAGATCTCTTGAAAACCTCAAAATAGGGACCACGTGGTTTGTTTTCATTTTCACAGAGATAAAATACTTCCTATTTTTCCTTTATATTTTTTCTGTTCGCTAGATTATTCAGAAATGTGTTGCTTTTCAAATATTTTGAGATTTTTAAGAAAGTTTCTTTCTTTCTTTCAAGAATGAAACACAGAGAAAGAGGGAGAGAGATAGAGAGATAGGAAGTACCCCCAACAGGGTCTTGTCCCCATAATCCTCCCCCAGCTTCAGCCAACCCCAGATCATGGGCACATGTGTGCCCAGTATACTTCTAGAGGACTCCAGATGTGAACCCAGAACCCTCCAATATGTGCAATATAGTGTTTTACT